GAGCAGCCACTGCACTCCAGTCTGGGCGACAGAGTGAGATTCCAACTCAAAAAAATAAAAAAATTTTAAAAAATTAAAAAAAATAAAAACCTCCACAGGTTTCCCATGGCACCAGGATAAATTCCATGGCCCGTTTGATGGTCTACCAAGTCCTGTACGATGCAGCCCCTACCTGCCTCTGAATGTTACCTCATGGCCCCCAAGCATCTTATGCACTATATCGCAGCCACGCTGGCTGCTTCTTCCTTCTGGGCCTTTGTACCTGCCATTCCCCCTGCCAGGAACACCTTTCCCCTGAGGCCGATGTTCTGGCCTCAGTCTGGATATCACCTTCCCTGAGAGGCCTTTCCTGACTACCCAGGCTAAATAAAGTACCTCTGCCCCTCTCTCCCATGTTCTATTTTTATAATAATCCCTAGCTAAAATTATGTTTTTCATGTATTATTTACCTGCAGATACAAATAGAATGTAAGCTTCTGGAAGCAAGCCCCTGGCTACCTTCTGCTGCTGTACCCATAGCTTTCTGTGCAGGCCCTGGAACACTGTAGGCACTCAATAGATGCTTGCTGGATGAATGAAGAAGGGCATAGATGTGGGAGGCACTGCTTTGGCCCTTGGGGCAGATCCAGGGACAAAACTGACTAGTTTCCTGCTCTTAACGGGCTTATACTCTAGTGGGAGACAGGCAGTAATACACCCATACATAATGAAAAATGATTTGAGTAAGTTGGTCAAGGTCACAGAGCTAGTAAGAGGTAGAACCAAGATTCTCACTCAGCAGGGCTAGCGGCAGAACCCAGTCCCTTAGCAGCCCGCTAAATAAGTAAACATCCGTTCAAGAAGTGGTTGGGGGAAGAACGATTAGGTGAAGTGAAGGGGACAGGAAGTGATGGAACTGACTTCTGCACGTGGATGGAAGGTGTCATTCCAGCAGAGGCTTGCAGAAGTTGTGGTGTGGGAGGAGAGGGTATTCTAGCTCAGGAAACAGGACAATGGTAGAGACAGACAAGTAAACAGATGACAGTAGACCCGCGGGACAAACACTGTGACAGGGGAAACACAGGAGACAGCAATACCAAGAAGAGATCTTGAACCAGCACTGATTCCCTG